CCCGCCTCGGACCCCTTCCTCGCCGGGCGCGTCGCTTCTCCGGGAAAGCTGAGCCCCGGCCGCGTTCTTCGCGTCTCAGCCGCCGAAGCTCAGTGGACTTGGGGTTACTGAGCTCTTGGTCCCAGGCAACTTCACCCGTTCCAGAGCCTCCCAATTCTCCGGACTCTGCTGGTCCCGACCCCGCAAGGAATCCACCACCTAGCTCCGAAGAGCCCCCCGAGGGCACGTGGACTGGGGGAGCCCAGGTGAAGGCTGCAGACTCTGTGCGTCCGGAGCTCACGTGCGCCACTGGGAGCCCGGGGTCCCGGGAACCGCCAAGAGTTCCCGAAGCTGGGGCCCAGGAGCGGCGGCGGGAACAAGAGGAAAAGGAGGACACAGAGACCCAGGCTGTGGCAACGTCCCCGGACGGCCGATACCTCAAGTTTGACATTGAGATTGGACGTGGTTCGTTCAAGACGGTGTATCGAGGGCTAGACACGGACACCACGGTGGAGGTGGCCTGGTGTGAGCTGCAGGTGCGGCTAGGTGGCACCTCGGGATGGGACCCTTTGGAGGTTTGGGGTTGGGAGACCCACAAGGGAGGGATGTATTTTTCCAGTCAAATGACCAGACACCCCTACTCCCACTTGCTCTGATGATCCATGGATCTGGCTGATTCTGGGCAGCAGAAAGAGAAACTGAGGCAGGTGGTGTGAGTGGCTCCCCTGAAGGTTTGGATATTTTCACTTGAAAGTACCCATACTCAACCCTGAGAGGTGGGAAGTAGGGTGGGAAATTGGGTAGAGAGCCATTTGAGGTATGAGAAGGTGGCTGGCCTCGCTACTTTGCTGAAGTGGTCCCTCTCTCTCCCTAAGTCCTGAGACCCTCAGCGTGACCCTGATCCTCCTGTTCCCTCTACCTGCATCTGTATAGGAAGTTGGGATGATGGATGCCAGAAGGTGGGGCAGGGTCCTCTCCACTTCCAGAAGATTTCAGCTGTTGTGGCAGGATGGGGCCCTCCCAGGCCCCTTCTGGACTTCACAGTTGGGGTAGGGAGGGACAAGGAGCTCAGCTCTGGCCCGAATCCAGTCCTCTCCTCATCCCTTTGCCTACCTGGGCTCTCCTTCCCAGACCCAAAGGCGCTGAGTCTCACGGGCTTTAAGTTTGGGCCAGCAGCTTCAGATTCAGACTGGGGAACAGAGCCTGGGGGAAGGGTCCTTCCCGGAGCCCTGGCACTGGGTTTGCCCCTTGCTCCTGCCAGTGCCGCGCCCCAGGCGCTAGGCCAGGCTAGTAGAGGCGGCCAAACTGGGGTGGGGTGGGGGTGAAGGAGGGAGATGGGACAGCCATGGGATAGAGAGCCGTCTCCTGGAACCTGGTCCTTGATCCTTACTTTCTTTCACTGTACCTCCTTCTGCAGCCCTCCCACCTCCTGTCTGGTTCTAGCAGTTGGCAGTTTCTGCAGCTAACCCCCTTGCTGGCCCCAATTCTCTGCCTGCCCGTCTGCCTGCCTGCTGCCCGCCTGCTGCCAGCCCCTGGGCGCCCCCTCCCGCCCCATGGCCTGCCCGGGCGGCCACAAAGGCGCTATTGAGCTCAGGGTTCCTGGACCGGGCTGCATAAAGTCGCTTGTGTCCAGCAGGGGGTCTAGGGGGCGGCCCCAGGCCCAGGATGGGCGTGTCCTCGGGGCAGCTTGAGGGGGTGGGCCTGGAATTCGGGGTCTGCAGCCGGTTAGGCCAGCTATTCCACTTCCCACGGATCCCCCCTGACCCAGCCCCATTCCAAGCTTCAACCCTTCCCCTTCCTCCCCAGCCCCGCCCCCGTGTCCCACACCACCCCTTCTCTGTGGGGGTCCCGGGCCAGATTTGACCTTGACCCCCATCCCCTACCCCACAGACTCGGAAACTGTCTCGAGCAGAGCGGCAGCGATTCTCCGAGGAGGTGGAGATGCTCAAGGGACTCCAGCACCCCAACATCGTCCGCTTCTACGACTCCTGGAAGTCAGTGCTGAGGGGCCAGGTTTGCATCGTGCTGGTCACTGAACTCATGACGTCCGGCACGCTCAAGACGTGAGCTCTGTGGCCTGGTGGTAGTGGTTGGTGGGAGGGCTGGTGGTGGACGGTCCCATTGCTTCTGGAACTTCTCCCAGGCTCCTCAAACTCTACATCCAGTCCAGCACCAGGCTCACTATCTCTCACCCACCCCTCCTTTGTTTCTGCCGTGGTGAATGGCAAGGTCCACTCAGCACTACGGCCAAAGCGTGGGCGCCTCCATAGATGCCTCTTCTCTGACCACCCTGTGCATCCCCTTCCCCCATCAGTCTATCTTCAAGGTTTTCCTCCTGTCTCCCCACTTGGCTTTCACTGCCCCATCTACACTCCCACCTCACAGCCACTGACCTCACTGGTCTGGAGACCTGCAGTCCCCTCAAAGGGCCTTCCCCCCCTCTGCCCCTCTCCTGTCCACTCTGCCGCTCTCTTCCCCAAGCTGTCCTATCTTCCTGCAGTCTGGGGTTCTCTCTCCATTGCAAATCTGACCTTATCACTCCCATTCTTAAAACCCGTCAAGGTCTCCCACAGCGCTCAGGATAAAGTCCACAATTCACAACCTGCTCACAGTCCTTAGGATCCAGCCCCATCTTCAGCCTAAATTCCAGACACACCAAATTCCCAGCACCTCCTCCCACCCTGCTCTGTGGCTTGCTGTGTCCGTGCCTTTGAGCACAGTGTCCCCTCTGCCTGGGAAGTCTCCATCCCTTCCCCTTTTCACCCTTGAACTCCTACTCATCCTTCAGATGCAACACAGTTATTTCCTTCTATGGAGCCCTCCCCCTGCAGCAGCAGTTAGTCATCCCTTCCTGTGCTTCCACAGCACCTTGGCCTCAGCCTATAACCTCACGTCTACTTACCACACCTCCCGGCTCAGTTTCTCCCTGGCTCCCTGTGCAGACCTGGGCTAGGAGAATGCTGGCAGAAGATGCAGAGACAGTGGTGCGAGTAGGGCTGGGAGAGCTTCCCAGTGAGGGCTCCCTCCCCCACCACAACCCTGGCTGTGCGCCCTGCGCAGATACCTGAGGCGGTTCCGTGAGATGAAGCCCCGAGTCCTTCAGCGCTGGAGCCGCCAAATCCTGCGGGGGCTTCACTTCCTACACTCCCGGGTACCCCCTATCCTGCACCGAGATCTCAAGTGTGACAACGTCTTTATCACTGGCCCTACGGGCTCCGTCAAGATCGGGGACCTGGGCCTGGCCACACTCAAGCGTGCCTCTTTTGCCAAGAGTGTCATTGGTGAGTCCCTCCAGGAGTCCTTGTCATTCCTCCCTGCGCCACGACAGAAGAGAGCCTGGGGTCTCCCTTTCCCTAGCTAAGTCCTTCAAGCTCCACAGAGTAAGAACACCCTGGGGGAAACGGGGAGACCTGTGGCATCCCCTCTCTAGCTGCCCGGCGGTGGGGAAGGGTTGCAGCTTGCGCTCCAGAACCAGAGAGCTGCCTGGCCTGTGCACATCCAAGGGGAGCGACAAAGCCAGAAAGGAGGCCCTGCAGCCCGATGCCTGCTGTGAATCCTACAGGGACCCCGGAGTTCATGGCCCCGGAGATGTACGAGGAAAAGTACGATGAGGCGGTGGACGTGTACGCGTTTGGCATGTGCATGCTGGAGATGGCTACCTCTGAGTACCCCTACTCCGAGTGCCAGAATGCCGCGCAAATCTACCGCAAGGTCACTTCGGTGAGAGAAGGGGTGGGGGGAATTCCAGGGCCCCTCCCATTTTCCTGTCTCAACCAGCCCCTGGCCAGTGCCCTTTCCCTTAATGAAAACAGGCTGGACACAAAGATGCCCTGATTTACACTGAAGGACAGTGGATGCACACAAGCCCCCCCTCCCCCTTCAGTACAAGCTATTTAGAATAACGACGTGTGTGTAGCACTCCCCAGAGTTTACAAAGGATTCCATTTCCCATCTCTCATCGGATCCTTCCAGCTGCAGGGCTAATATTCTGCCCGCTCTTTTACAAATGAAAAGCTGGCTGAGGCAGACTTGTTTAAGGTCACATTATCGATACATGGGGGGATTGGGATTCGAAATCAAATCTCCCTGCAGCAGTCGCTGTGCTTTTGCGACTGCAAGTTGCTCTCTTGGGCATGTGTGGGTGGTGAGGGTGGAGTGTGTGGAGCGGGCACGTGTCAAACTGAGAACTGGGGCGTAGAGAGCCTGAGACTCATGTAACCCCTTCTTCAGGGCACAAAGCCGAACAGCTTCTACAAGGTGAAGATGCCCGAGGTGAAGGAGATCATTGAAGGCTGCATCCGCACAGATAAGAATGAGAGGTGGGGTGGGGTGCAGGGGCAGGAGCTGGCAGAGGAGGATGACGGTGAGAAGCCTGACCTCAAGCTCTGGCTGCGCATGGAGGATGCGCGGCGCGGCGGGCGCCCGCGGGACAATCAGGCCATCGAGTTCCTGTTCCAGCTGGGTCGGGACGCTGCTGAGGAGGTGGCGCAGGAGATGGTGAGTGGAGGACAGACTGCCCTGCAGTGGGGATGTGAGGGAAGCCGGGGTGGTGGGAAAGGAGCCCAACCACTCTTCTAGGCATCTCCTGCCAGTGTCTTCCTGCCCCCTCCTTCTTAACACACACACCACACACACACACAATCCGGTGTTGAAGATTTCATTTTCCAGATCAGACCCTGAGTCCTCCAACCTCCTTACTTTAC